GTTCCAACAGCTTTCATGTGGCGCTTTGCTCTTTCCGGAATCGCGCGTAAGGTGGCGTTCAAAATACTTTTTCCCGTTTTGCTGGGCGTCCAGCGAAAAAATGTTTTTGTAAATTCGATATCTTTGGAACCCGTTGAGCACAAATCGTGAAACTTCGGTTATTTACGTAACTCAACGAGCTCTATAACATATCCAAAAATCAGGGAATGGATTGACCCCCTTAAGAGCTCCCACTAGGGATGGAGCAAAGTTCCGCCAGCCTGGTAGCCCAGATGTTCTTTACAAATATATGTACTTTGAAGTTCAATAGGCTTTCTTATGAACTAGAGTATTTTCAAAAGATTCGGAAAAGTTAGCTGGTTATCTATGAAATATGAGATAAAATTTTTACGAGGATTTCTGGAAAACCGACCCGAAAAATTTATTCGGCCGGGTTTGAAACCTGGCGGCTTTTGTAGAGCTACTCGAATGGAATCTAGGATACTAATACCTCGAAAAATTCGCATGTAGTCTCCGCGCGTATAGCTCACAAAGTTCAAAAATAGGTCGCGGGAGGCGGGGTATGGGAGCTAAAAAAATGAGTATTTTCGAGTTTATTCTTGTAGCCTTCAAATATGCTTCACTGATGCTTTCTGTTCATTGTAAAATGAGATCGTTTCTGTTAATCTTTGCATAAGTTTTTCTCTAATTCAAAAACATAATTTTGGCCAGTGATGGTTAAAATTTTCATAGAAAAGCTTTGTATAAAAAATGATGAGGAAAAATCTAACTTTTGTGGAACATATGCAACCTTTTATGCTGTTTTCGATCATCGCCGTTAGAAAATTCAGATGTAGTGATGAAATTGGTATTTAGGTACTCAGCAACCCTTGAAAACACGTAAGATCGCCTTTTGTGAGATACGGACTAAAGATTACTGGACATTTATTCGATCAGTAAATGCAATTTTATTTTTTATAAGAAATGTTTGCGCAACTAAGTAATAAATAATAAAATTAATAGTAATAAAAGTAATAAAATGTGTTTCTTTATTCAAGTTCTATTCTTTCGCCATCCCGAGCAATAAATTGACAATACACAGAAGAAAAGATTACTCATGTAGATTCCTTCTTCACGGCCGGGAAAAAACCAAGAAGTAGCAGAGTCAAACAAATACTCTGCGTTAGATTTATTGCACACTACATACGCTGGTTTTCACGCTGCCCTGGGTAATGGTCGCATATAACAATTCCCTTCGTACCTTGTACATTAGAGGACAAGAACCTTGACTCTCTAACCTTTTTAATGTATCTTAAATGGATGGAGCTTGTCGCAGTGTTGAATATTAGTAGATACTATATAAATAGAACGGGTATCAGAAGAAATAGCTTCAGTGTGTCAGGCCTCCCAAGTAGTTTCAAAGGCTTTGTCGCGATTTGCGAACACCCGTGTACATCAATCAAGAAGAACCAATTCCTTAAAGTTTTCCGTATGATTTTATTATCTTTTGGTAAGCCGGTATGATTTCTCTTTGTTCGGCTTTTTAAAATCATCACGTAAAGCTGCTTAACATATTTTGCATTTCCGGCGCACGCAAAATCACTTTGGTTAGGATTCACCCCAGGACATGTGCGAGCAATGCCAATGACAAATTTGAATTCAACACCTCGAAGTTAACATTGAACATATAACAATTTTTTAGAATATTCTAAAAGATGAGTGTTGAATCGAAAATTTTGGCTTTGGTAAAAGTTTTATTCTCAATTCACCTTGAGCTCGGTCTTGCAAGTTAAGCTGCGATAACTGCCTTTTAGGCGATTTCAGAGAAAAGCTGCGGCCGACGAATTTTAGTTACGGTGTGATATCTTTTCTTATCATAGAAATAAACAAATCTTTTTCCAGTAGTCATAACAAGTCTGAATGTTTCATTGCCTTAGTGATCGTTTCATATGTGTGATGCAACGTAAAATTAAATAGATTTTCCTTAAGTTAAGAGCTGCACTTAGTTTGCTAAAATGGCCCAGCGACCATCTTCACCAGCAACACCACCGCCTGGCCGTGAAATAACCTACACGCTTGTCCACGTTGAAACGCCAATTAAAGTAACAACAGTACGAGATCAAAGAACAGGCGCCGTCATCAGCCGAACCGAAAAGCGCGGTACACCGCGTGAAACTCGAACAGAGATCACCAAAGGCTCGAGGATTAGTATCGGTACGCGATGCACGGGGCCGAGCGGTA